ATGAACAAAAAAGTCACATAACTTCGATTTTTTTTTCTGTTTTCGAACTTTGCAGTGCAGGAAGAGTTTTGTAGCCCACCGGTTTTGGCAGCGCAGCCCGCCAGGATACCGTCACGTTGTCGGCGTCAAATGCATAACTTATCGCGAGAGCCCCAGCATAAATAATTGTGACGTTGAGATCCCGTCACTCGAGACGAGCAGATCCTACCTCGTACGCGTGTCACGCCACACTGTAAAAAGTGTCCGTCATTGAAACAGAAACTTGGTTAAGTTTTAGTTCGTGATTATTATTGTCATAGGAGGATCTTCGTCGCCAAGAAAAAAGCAGCAAATAATGCCATTTGGCCGTAGCGGCCGAAGCAAATCGGTTCCCAAAGAAGTATGTGGGACTTTTATTTCCACCATCACAATAGTTTTTTCATGATGGAAATCATACGCTCTTTCGCATTTGGACGTCAAAAACTACGACAAATTTTTCTCCCTCCCTCCTACCTTCCCTCTCTCCCTATATCCTCTCTCAGCCCCCGCGGCTCCCGCTCCTCTGGATGTCGTTCGCGGCCCGCCGCCTGTGAACAGAAGGGTAGGCCACCGTTTGGCTCGCGTCCTGTGCGGGTGGCCTACCCTCCGGCCGACAGGCGGTGGCGGTGGCGGTGGCGAACCTTTCTCTTGGCCTACAGAAATGTTCATTTGTGAACTTCAAATCTATCGTTCTAGACAGTCTGCAAGAATTTCTCTGCCAGAATGAGAAAAAGTAACCCCCCCCCCTTGCTCTTCCTACAGAATAGGGCCGCACGGGACCTTGCTTCCGCCTCTCTCTCTCTCTCTCTCTCTCTCTCTCTCTCTCTCTCTCTCTCTCTCCCTCTCTCTCTCCATCTCCCTCCCCCTCTTATTCCCCGAAATGTTTTAAATGTAGTATCTGCTACCCTGGAGCTCCGCACGGTCTAATAGCTTGATCAGTGATTGGTTAAATACCCATAGGTATTCGCTTCCAGTTTCCTTACTAGGGTAGGTTCAAGATAATGATGTAAGTGCATTCACATGGAAACTCCTCCTTAAAAGTGGCGCAGTAAAACCTAACCTGACGGTAGAGTCAAGGACAAACTCATTTGCTGAAAGGCCTTTGCTCTTTTTAATTACGGCGTGATGAAACTCTTTTCTTTGCAATCTACTCTTGAGGAGCATAGAAAAGGGACAAAATTTCCGGTCAAATATAGATACAGCTAAGCTTTTCCACAGACTGTGATGTGAAAACAATCCAGTTTATAAAGGGATGCTCTCGACTGGCGATGTCCGCCGGTAGTTACCGTGGCCTCTTGAGATAAAAATAAAAGTGTTGACTTTGTGCGTTGTTTTTTCAATCGCTGAAAAATAGTCTACGACTATTACGAGAACATTGTGTAATCCGCACGCTGCAGATAGAACGTGGTTGTTAGGACGCGTCGAAACAAAGATGATTTGCAGCCCGTCAAGTTCGCAAGAGGACACCGTTGCCGCTGTCTGTGCGCAGTGTCGGGTCGCGCCATCACCACGCGCTTCGCCTCAAGTTCAGATCGAGGGGGAAATCACTTGGGTTCGTATAGCGTACGCGTACGGACTTTTTCGTGATATTCTCTGCCATTTAGGTTATTTCTCGGTTATTTCGAATCATTTCTGGGTAATTCGCAGTATTTGGGGGGTATTTCACAATTATTTCACCGACTACTTCGGGCTTATTTCGCTCTATTTCGCCTTTATTTCGAACTATTGCGGGGGGAGGTGTACAAACTGTTTAGCAAGTGATTTCCCCCTCGGTTCCGATTCTACCATATAAAGAGTGCTGCAGAAAATAAAATAAAATAAAATTGGACGCTTTAGGGGCGCGATTGACTCATGTTAAACGGCAGAGGCGAAGAGAGGTTTAGCAATTTATTATTATTTAAGGAGGACGAGAAGAAGAAGAAGAAGAAGAAGAAGAAGAAGAAGAAGAAGAAGAAGAAGAAGAAGAAGAAGAAGAAGAAGAAGAAGAAGACTAGCTGACATGCGAGCGTGGGTGCGGTGCGCCCCCCCCCCCCTCTCTCTCTCTCTCTCGCTCTGTTCCCCTTGGGAGCCGGGCCACCACACAGAGCCCCATGAGGAGCAAAGAGAGACGGGAAGGCGGCAGCGAAACTGGCGGCCATACTGTATTCATGAGAAATCGAGACTAATTTCCTCCGGAGAGCCCGGCGGCTAGTGGGCCGCCTGCCCGAGGCCCTGCTGCCCGAGGCCCTCTGCCCGAGGCCCTCTGCCCCGTGTCTGTCTGGTCCAGCAGAGCCGGACCCTGAGGCGCTATTACCGCTGAAGGGCACCGGGGAGAGATCGAGGCTGTAGCGCGCCAAGCGGCGCCAGGGGGCCGTAGGCCGGCCACCACGGCTCTAAGGCCAGGAGCCAGGAGGCTGCCTGGGGCTGGGGGAGAGGGCTGCCCCCTAGGCTGTAAGGCCAGGGCGCTGCCCCGAGGTTGTTCTGGCCAGGGGGCTGCCTCCGAGGCTGTATGGCCAGAAAGCGTCCCCCGAAGCTGTAAGGCCGGCGGGCTTCCTCTGAGGCTGTAGGGCCGGGAGGCTGCCGCCAAGCGGCTGTAAGGCCAGGAGGCTGCAGCCGCCGCTAGCCGCTGGCCACCGGGGCTCGGGGCTCATCTAAGACCAGGGGGCTGCTTTCGAGACTGTGAGGAAGGCCACGAGGCTGACACCGACCGGAGCTGAAGGGCCAGTGCCAGGCCAGCAGGCTCCCTCAGCTTGGCCGACCGGTGTAGGGCTACAGAGCTACTGCTGCTGCTGCTGCTGCCCTTTCGTCCCGGGCTTTGGCGTTTAGCGCAAAAATAGGAGGCCCCAGAGGATGGCGAGCGCAGAGGGGCGGTCGCGGAGGGCCGAGCGTGCCTCCCGGGAGGAATGGAGGAGGGAGCGGGTGGGGACGGCGGCAGCCCCCCGCGCGGCAGGCCTGGACGGAGCAGGAGGCCAGGAGGGAAGGTGTCTGCGAGCCGAACGCGACTCATCCGCTCGCAGCCAAGCTTCATTAATTGCCAATCCGGGACTTTTCTTTAATCCGGTCGGGGGATCTGGCGTGGGCCAGGCCTACTTCGGCTCCCGCCGGCTGCCGCTCCCCGGACCGCTCCCCGCACCGCTCAGGGGGATACGCTCCCACTTCAGGGGAGCGTGTAGGCGCGTGCGCGGGCGGGCTGGCGGCCGTCTCTCCATGCGGCCTTGTCACAAGGAGAAGACGGTGAGGTTTTTTTTCTTTTTTTTTCCTCGTCATATCTATTTTTTCGTCGGGAACGAATCAGTATAAAGGCAAATCCGTTGCGTCGCCTGATATCGTGTGTTTGGGAGGGGAAGCGAGGACGCGGGCGAAATAAGCTCATGGAGCAGGTCGCGAGGGAAGACATTCCTGGGCGATATTGCTCTTAGGACCACGCGAGCTGGCCGTGTTTCAGAGAAGTGGCGCAATAAGGAAGCGGGCGTGTGCGGCGTCCCTGCAGGGGACCTCGCAGTGACAGGGCCGCGTGCCCGCAGGACAATGGTGCTCTCGCTCTGAGTACGAAATGCTCATTTATTTTATGAAGTGGTTTGTAAAAAGAGATAAGTCTACTTTACTCATTTGGGATGATAGTTCTCACACACCAAAAGGGGATAAGTCGACTTAACCCAAAAGTCCTCAAATTTCAACTAGAGCAAAACGAGTTAAGTCAACCTATCTCTTTTTGTCACAGGTGGTCAAAAGAGTTAAGTTGACTTAACTTATCCCCTTTTGCATAGAGTGAAAACATTGACATGATAAAAGGCGAAGCAAGTTTTCTGGATAGTTTAGTTGATATCAAGTCTGGCATATTACCAGTGAAGAGTTATGTCGAGTCGTCTTCATGTCATGCTGGTCAAAGGGGAAAAGACCTGAAACTCTATGAAGGAGCAAGAGCAAGATATTAAAAAACTTCAAAGTAACTATAATATTCTTTATGAAAGTACATTCAAACCCAATAATAATATTTCTTGGAATATGTGTGTAAATTTCGTTTCCTGAAAACTATGGTTTTTAGACATCCCATTCTTTCGCTTCACCATTCATTTAATTTACCCTTTTTCTCTCCGAATGCGGTGGACGTGGCCGTGACCGGTGGAATCGATGAGGATGGGCATTCACTCGTCAGGTTGCAACAGCGCGCCCGCCCGTGATAGCGCCAGCGGTATCGGAAACCGAAACCACATTTTCAACGGACAGTGAGTGAAATACCTGCGATCCTGTCATCGTTGTTGGCAGGGACGAAATAACGCTGAATTGCAGGGCACATGGGGCTACATTCCGCCACTACCTGCAGAGTGCCCCATGAAGCTCACCATCAAGTGCTGTTAAGAAATGACCTGCTCGTGGTGGCTGAGGGTGAAACAAAAACAAAACGCTGACTTTTCCCAGCCACTTTCCTAGTATTTATTTTCATTGATTTTCATAGTGCATACATGTTCATGTGTTTGTAATACGAAAGCCAATGATTACACCATAGACAACTAACTCTCCCAGGTCCCCGCAGCGAACAAAAACTCTCCTCTTTATCGGAGAACGCGAAATCCTGGAGTCGAAATACCGACCCGCATAATAAAAAGTGACGAAATTGAATTTTTACCTGTGTTAGGTCCGAAACTTTTTTTTAAAAAAAGTAATATTTTTTACGAAACGCATAGCAGCGTGGTCGTGGCTTTTCAGCTCTTCCGAGATGTGCGTGATTACGTTCTCCAGCGATGAAAAGGCTGGCCCATGAAAAGGGAGCGCCTCATTTCCCTGTCCAGGAGGTCCAGGAGGAGATCCAGGAGGTCCAGGGCGCCGGCTGGGCCGCCAGGGCCGCCAGGGAGGGCCGCCAGGGAGGGCCGCCAGGGAGGGCCGCCAGGGCCGCACACAGCGGGGGTAGGGCACGGCGCCCCCGCGGGGGTCAGGCGATCCGCGCGTAGGTCGTCGCGCCCGGCACGAGGCACGGCGGCGCCGTCAGGGAGGCCGAGGCCGCCGTTGGCCGGGCCGGCGCCTCCGCGCCGCAGGTGGTCTTTGTATCTGCTCGCTCGTCCTCGCGGCAGCGGCCCGTGCCTTTGGGAAGGGTCGCACGGGCGCGACGCGCCCCGCAGCGAGCGGGCGCGCGCGCGCGCGCTCCATCCTGGGGGCGCACAAGAGGATCTCCAAGATGAAGCCATAGATACACGTTGGTGGAGGGAGGCGGGGGAATCACCGTCTCCCCCCATGGATGGCGGAACTCGTCCCTTTCATGTTTGTCTCATTTTACAAGGCATAACAGCGCAAGCGACTACAACAACAGGAGCCCAAAGCAGTGTCTCCGCCCGCCCATCTTCTTCGAGCCGAGCTCCCCGATGTGCTGCCGCTGCTGCCGCTACTGCTTTGAAGACAACGGCAAATTATGTTGTTGGGCGGAGAAAAGGCGCGTGAGCCACCGAAATGAAATAGTATCGCGTAAATAGAGAGAAAGAGAACGCTTTATCCCCCCACCTTTCTCTCTCCCTCGCTCGCTCTCTCTCTCTCCCTCGCTCGCTCTCTCTCCCTCTCGTCCCTCCCATCGTTTTCTTGTCACTGCCTTCTCTCTCACACACACGCACAGGCGCACCATGCCTCCTGCTGTGCGACCTCTCGGACGACAATATTTAGATTGCTCTGAAAATGAAATACTTTCTTACCTGATTTTCGTCTTTTTTTTCTGTGTCGTCCCTTTTGTCGGCAAAATGATACCATATAGTCGCACATCGAGGTTCAGCCGCCTTTTTACTTTGCACTTTTGTGGCAGGCACCATGTGAACTGCTGGCGAAAATCATCCTTTTCTGGATCGAACTTGGATCGAGGGAACTTTCGACTTCGGAACTTCGGGCCAATCGCTCAAGTCACAGCGGTCACGTGATGTAACGGGTGCGTCTCTTTGAATGTGCAGCCTCGGAGATGGCATACTGGTCGAGCATAGGTCGAGGGTCGAGGCCGTGGCGCCTATACGGGGCAAACCCGCACCACCAGACTGCTTCTGAAGAGCGTCTAAAGGGGGACTACAGAGGCAGCGACTGCTTCCTTCCCTCTCGTACCCGTGACGATGTGGCATCCCATACCTATCTACCTCCCCTTGAGCGCTCTACGGGATCCGGCGGGATCAGTCTGCTGGACCTGGACCTCTGCTAGAATGTGAGAGTGGCGCGACGATGTCTACAACCTAAAATACGCCCGAATACGCCAACAAAAGCTGTCTCAAAAGTATATGTGAAATGTCCGGAAATGTAACTATTATTTATGATATAACATGTATTTATAACTTCTCTCAACAGTAACGACCATTTGAGACCATTAAAGATGAACGTCTGTATATAGATGATGCGTTTGGGGTCTTTCTCTTCTTCCTCTGTCCGTTCCGTTGAATCCTCGAGTCTTTTTCCTTCTACACGGGTGTAAATCCCTCCTCTATGGGCTTCACGTCGACCTTTGGCCTTAGACGCCCCCTCCGTTGGCGTGGGACCGTATACCGGCAGCCCGGCTGCCCTCCTCCCCTGCGCGAGCCACGCCGCCATGCCTGCCTCCTGTTGCCAGCGCTGCTGCCACCACCCCCAACCCCCGCAGCTCCCTGTTCACTTTCACTTGCCCGCTTCCCTCCCTTTGTTGTGACCCCCCACCCCTCCT